TGATTATGATGATGGTGGTGGTGATGATGGTGGTGGTGATGGTGGTGATTATGATGATGATGGTGGTGATGATGGTGGTGGTGATTATGATGGTGGTGATAGTGGTGATGATGGTGGTGATGATGGTGGTGATGATGGTGATCATGATGGTGGTGGTGATGATGGTGGTGATTATGATGATGATGGTGGTGATGGTGATTATGATGGTGGTGATGATGGTGGTGATTATGATGATGGTAATGATGATGGTGGTGATGATGGTGGTGATTATGATGATCGTGGTGATTATGATGGTGGTGGTGATGATGGTGGTGGTGATGGTGGTGATGATGGTGGTGGTGATTATGATGGTGGTGATGATGGTGGTGATGATGGTGATTATGATGGTGGTGGTGATAATGGTGGTGATAATGGTGATGGTGGTGATGATGGTGGTGATTATGATGGTGATTATGATGGTGGTGGTGATGATGGTGGTGATAATGGTGGTGATAATGGTGATGTTGGTGATGATGGTGGTGATGATGGTGATTATGATGGTGGTGATGATGGTGGTGATGATGGTGATGGCGGTGATGATGGTGATGGCGGTGATGATGGTGATGGATGCTGGGAATTCCAGAGTGGAGCCGTGCGAGCGATGAGGTGAGATGACCTGCAGTGTAGTTAGTAGGTGGGTAGGTGAGTAGTGAGTATGTGAGTGGGTGAGTGGATGAATGACTTCATAATAAAGTTTTTGGGTTAGATCGCGTAAGTGGAAATATGTCGTAACCCTCCACCACCCGACACAGCCAGAAAGGTTTGTCACGTAAACAACGCGCCAATTAGTTACTACTTCAGCCCACTGGTTTGTTGGAGAGTACATCCAAAACATTTACAAATTGATAAAAACTACATATCGCTGGTAATTACATCCAGCATCATTGGGCGATGGTGGTGGGTTCCGACATTTATCTAACCCAAAAACCTTTATTATTACACGCTTTTTATTAACTCACTGTCTGTTGTTGTTGTATCCTCAAATCCTGTAACTCAATTTTAACCCACTTCCCAATGTGGTATCGACTGCAAACTTGGTATACTTATGTCAAACTGATGACAATACTATATTCTATCATAAAAAAATATTTTAAACATTCTTTTTTATATCTTAAGTTTCGGCTTGGCTCTAATTGTCCACGCTCAACTCACGTTGGCTGTAAATCACCACGGTCCCTTACGTTGTGGAAGCTTCGGGGCCACTTCCTGGAGTCGTGGAGTTCTGCCATTACTAGTTGGGTACATTTCATAAAAGCGTGTTTAAAAAAAAAAGTGTTTTAAAATATTACTTATTATTATGAATAATAGGAATAATAATTTATGAATAAAAATAATTATTTGTGAATAATATTAATTTATGATTAATAATAATTTGAGAATAAAAATTTATGAATAATAAGAATGTGTGAATAATAATTTAAGCATAATAATAATGTATGAATAATAATGTGTGAATAATAATAATATTGGTCGCGAAAGCCTACGCGTGAATCTAAATGGCTATGTTGTCGCAGTGGTAAGGAGCGGTGGCGCAGTGATTAGCTCACTGCACTACGAAACCGGCCATCCGAGTTCGATTCCCACTCACAGACAGCATTGGTGGCCAATATATAAACCAGTCCTGGGCCTCCCCTAGGTCGACTTAGCCTCAAATGAGTACCCCTGGTGCGGTGTGTAAACATCAGCATTGGGAGAGATAAAGGCAGCAGGGCGTGTTTACATCCACACCACCTCCTGGTTTGCCGCTCCGGCTTTAATAGGCGATTGCTAACAGCACTTGCCCCAATAGTCTGTTAAAGGCTACAGGGGGAATGTTGTTGTTGTTGTGACCTGGAGAGAGACAGAGAGAGAGTGGGGGGATAGAGAGAGGACGACTCGGAGGCGCCAGGGGAAGGAACCGCAGACGACTGGAAAGGCTGCAGCAGATAGGCGGTGGTGAGGAGCCGGCACTACCGACACTTGAACCTCATGGCGTGACCCTGGGGTACCATCGTTACCTGAGGTACCATCGTACCCCAGGGTAACGCGCAATGTCCGTGATGCAGTCATTTTTAGTCTGTCGGTGGTGGGCGATGCGGCAATCGACTCATCTCGACGAGCTTTACACACGATGCACCGCGGTGCATACGAGCGTTCAGGGTTTCAGCCCAATCGTCCTCGCTGCGTTTCGACATCGCGGAGTGTGGCACTGATTTCGGGTTGATTAGTTACCCCAGTCGCGGAGTGAAGTACACCCCTGGACAAAAATAGTGTCCCAGAAATAAAATATTTAATTGCCTCGGCCATTTTGGATTTTTTGGTACCCCGGGGTACCGCCATGAGGATTAATTGCCCAAGCTCTGCGATCCTCTACAAATGAAGGTGTTATTTGCCAATTAATGCGTGTTTATACATGTGTAGTGACTGACTCAGATGCACTAAGAGTAGGAGGCACTCTGTTTATTAACACGGCCTTGACAGTTCCACTGGGTAACTACGGATCCCAGTCAGGACAGCCGGTAGACTGCCTGGCTGGCGACGCCGAGACCGTGAAGACGGAGACGACGGTGAAGACTCCGGCAGCGGCACGACGGGGACCCCCCCACTCCACACGACAGCCACGAGGTCCCCTCCCGGGGCCCCTCTTATACTGTCAACGTGGCCTGGCTCCGCCCCCGGCCACGCCCCCCTTCTGGAACCTACCAGCGGGTTCTCGATGTGTCCCTTCCGTAACCTTTCGCCTAGATCCCTCTCTGGTCTATCACGTGGCCTGCTGTCAGTCAGGGCTGCTGTAACTGCAGATCCCCTTCCCTGGCAGCACTCAGCGCTATGCTGCTATGTGACCGATTCTACGTCACTACACATGTCTGAGGAAATTGGAGCACCGGGAGAAAACGCACGCGTGCGAGGGGGCAACACTCGATCCCGTCATACAGATGGAAGAGCATTCGCCTGGCCGACCAGGGCAAGGCTCCTCCTCGACTCTCACTCACGAGCAGGGAATAATGGAACAGATAGAGATTGGCCCACACATTTCTGCTGTACCGCCTTCTCGCGGCCGAGACGCGGCACGGCTCTTCATCGACGCACACTGGCAGGGAGTTTCACAACAATCGCGCGGTGATCCACCAACCCTCGCTGGCGCTTCCACGGCGCTGAATTACAGACAACCACGCGCAACAGCGTTGAGCCATCGCCGCCACAACCACCGCCACCACCACCGTCACCACCAACAAACAAAGATCCGCCGTATAGCCTGAACAGACTGTTGGGACAAGTGTTGTTAGCACCACCACCAACCGCCACCACCACCGCCACCACCAACCGCCACCTCCACCACCACTGCAACCACCACACCCACCACCACCGTCACCACCACCACCTTCACCACCACCGCCACCACCGTCACCACCAGCACCGTCCAGCTGTCGTATGGGCTGGCGGATTTGTTCACAGCAACGCATTTGCTGCACATGCAGCGCCTTGATTTAAAACGAGGCGGTCAGTGACGACTCGACAGGAACGTCTGGCAGCTGTTGGCATACTCAAATAGTCTCGTCTCATTCGCGGTGCATGAGTGTACGTCCTGTTGTAGCAGCGGTGAGTGATTGGGTGGGTACTAAATCAGTGGTGGGGAGCGGTGGTGGAGCGGTTAGTGCGCTGGCACTACGAACCCCGGTAGTGACGATTATCCGAACCGGTCTTGGGCCTCGGCTAAGTCTACTCAGCAGCAAATGAGTGCCCGGTGCGGTGTGTAAATTTGACTACTGGGGAGACAAAGGCGGCCCGGCGTGGTGCTGGCCACCCACAAGTTTTTTGTGCGACCGTGTTGGCGTCCGCATGTGCTCGCTAACAGCACTTGCCCCAACGGCTTGTGTAGGCTATAGGAGAGATCTTTGTCTTTGTTCATGTGTCCCCACTTACAAAGGCAAAGATCCCCCGTATAGCCTTCAAGTGACTCCTGGTGGCAAGTTCTGTTAGCGAGCAACACCAAGCCCGGCCGTCTTTGTCTCCCCAATGCTGACGTTTACACACCGCACCGGGGGGGGGGGGGGGGTACACATTTGAGGCTGAGTCGACCGAGGGGAGGCCCGGGACCTCTTCAAATTCACGTTTAATTCTCGCTCACAACCCAGGGCCTAATTTATGACATGGATATTTTTTTGTGGACGTTACTCGGCTGGCTGTTTGCATGGGCGCGTGCTGGCCTGGAGTAGAGAATCGAGCGGACTGTTTGTAGAACCAGATGTGAACTCAGCAGGCCAGGATGGAGTCTCATTTTGCAAGACATTTGGTGTTGCTGCTGCGTTGGCAGTAGTGGCGCACAAACAATCAACAACAACAACTCAACACATTCGTCAATAACAACACAGTGGCCTTTAAAATGAGTATATAATAGGTGACGTTTCGGACCATGCCAGAGAGTCAACGCTCTATTCACTTAACACACACTCACAAACAACCTATACTCAATCACGACAGCCGCCGTTCGACGTCACCACAACTCTTTGTGCCAGGCTAGGTGCACGTTTCGGCCACGCGGAAGGCTCGCCGCTCGCAGGAGGTCACGAGACGGACCCCAGGTGTTATGGCTTAATTGATGTGCCAAGCTAGGTGCACGTTGAGGCCACCCGTCACGTGAAGTGTGGAAGACTTTTTTTGTCTGCTGGCAGGAAGAGGTCACGGGACAGGCCCAGGTGTTCTGGGTTGACTCACTGCGGATGACTGACGGATCCTCAATCACACACAGACACACACCTATAGCCACACACCTACACTCCAGCACACAGACACGCACACTCGCCTATACACTAGTACACACAGACACATTACACACATTACTATTTTATTTCAATAACCCAGGAAGAGCAATTCCAATATAAAAAAATGCCCCCCCCCTCTCTCTCTCAATCTCCCCCCCCTCTCGCTCGTCTCGCGCTCCGCCCCCCGCGCCCCGCGCGATTGGCCGTGGGAGTGCGGCAGCGCCGCGCATAAAGAGCGGCGCTCCCACCGCGCATCCCCCCAAAAAATATTCATCACCGTCAGGCGGCCACTCGCCGGCATGGACGTGGCAGGGAGCGCTCTGGAAGCGCCCTGGTGCCCTCCGGGCCCCGAGGCAGTCGCCCGCCCCTCACCGCTGGGCCTCTCACCCCGCGATGCTTCGTCCCCGTCCGACTCGGCGCGTCACGCCCTGCTCGTGGTGCTGGGCGAACTCGCCAGCGAGAATCAAGTGCGGGCCGCGGTGGCGGACGTGGAGAGAGGTGAGAGTGGGGAGGGCTGTTCGCGAGTGGTGGCCGCTTCTACCGTGTCCACCCCCGCACCGCTGCCCACTGCTCTTCGGGGCTGCCAAGATACTCCTCTTCTCCCCCCTCGTCTTCTGCTGAGTTCTTTACTCTCTCTCTCTCGCTATCTCGCTCCCGTGTTCGCCGCCTTCCTTGGCCGCTGCTTTGTGTGGCGGCCGGTCTCTGCCTGCTGGTGTCTCGCAGTCTCACCTCTGCCTCTCTCTCTCTCTTCCCTGGTCAACTTTAATTCTCATCGTGACCTCTCTCTCTGTTCCCCTCCACGCTACCCCCACTTTTCTCCCATATGCCATGCGCTCCCTTCGCACCTCAAATCCGTTCTACTCTCTCCTCTCGTCTTGCCTCATCTCCCCTCTTCTATACCCGCCCCTTACACTCGCACCTCTTCCGCGTCTCTTCCCCTCCCCTCTCCCCACTCTTCCTGTCGTTTCTCCTCTTCTCTGACTCCTTGGCCGCTCTCTCCCCTCGATTCCTCTTCCGTCATCACCTCGTCTCTCACTCTCATTCGCTTTAATACAGAACTGCATCTTCCACCTCTGATCTCATCTTCCCATTCTACTCTCCCCCTCGTTCCCCCCCCCCCACCCCTTCTCTCTCTCCATCGCGTGGTTCCACGGGGCATCGCCTTGAAATAAAACACGCGTATCCCATGGCGCTGCGCGTGAGCGCATCCTGTCCCGTAGAGGAAAGGGCGTAGCCGCTGTCCGTGGTGCTGAATCGATCGTTCGTCCGCCTCCCCCCCAGTGACAACGAGGCTAACGCAGCGGTCGCCGACGCGGATTGGGGTCTCGACGTCTCGTGTCTTCAGCCACGCGATGGCTCAATCGTGATATGAAACTCAGGCACACCGGACCGAGGGAACGTTGGGCAATGCCAGTGATGGTTGGCTACGTACCGTGCGAAAGAAGTTGAACATACATACATACATACTACATCGGCTGTGTTAACTGTCCCCAAAGGAGAATATTGACTGTATATTGGCTCATATAGTAGCGAGAGCAAAGGCAAAGATGCACCGTATAGCCCTAAACAGATTGTTGGGGCAAGTGTGATGTTAGCGAGCATCTATGAAGGCCGTTCACGGCACTCGAGGGGAGGGGTGTGTGACCAAACACCACACCCTGCAGCTTTTGTCTGCTGAGTGTTGATGTTTTACACACCGCACCAAGTCGTCATTTGAGGCTGAGTCGACCAAGAGGAGGCTCAGACCCGATTCAGATTATCGTTACTGCTGTTGGTGGCCGTGAGCGGGAATCGAAGTCGGGTCGCCGGGTTCGTAGCGCAGTAGGCTAACCATTGCGCCACCGCTCCCCATACGCACATACAAAGACAAAGATCCGCGTATAACCTTAACAGACTGTTGGAGCAAGTGCTGTTAGCGAGCACCTATGAAAGGTAGCACGGAACAAGAGGAGGGGAGCGGGGGGGCATAACCACGCCCGTCCGCCTTTGTCTCCCTAGTGGCGATGTTTACACAACACACCAGGTACTCACTTGAGGCTGAGTCGACCTAGAGAAGGCCCAGGACCGGTTCAGATAATCGCCATCGGTGTTGGACGTGAGTGGGAATCGACCTAGGGGTCGCCGGGTTCATACACACACACAAAGAGACGCACGTACACAAACCGCTCGACCCACGTGTCTGTCTGCAGGTTATTTTCATCCCGCAAAATCCTCTTAGTGGCCGGATTACAAATGAGAAAGCTTCAGCACTGTGTGTCGCACCACCCGCCCCGCCTTGGTCTCACCGCGCCATCGCCATCATCATCTTAGCCATGGCCTTTACACAAGACAACAACGTTGCCGAATTTAATTTTGATTGTTAATTAGTTCTTTTTTTAATGATAGTTTAGTCGTATTTATCACCTGATGACGGACGCTTGTGTTGCGCCAGAAACGTCGTGATTTATGTTATTTTATACCTACGTGACTTTACTGAAAGCACCAAAGAGTACGTATTTATCATTGAAGGAGTTTTGTCTGGCACGCGATAGCTGCTGTTTTTGGAACTATTCATGTGGCAATTTACAAAACTGGTCATCAGAATTTTTTTTTAAGAATGCTATTCTCCCAGGTCCATCCGTGACGTAAAACAAGCGCACCTCTTATTGCCCACTCTGTCTCTCTTCTGGCCTCTCTATATTATCTGCTATAGCGACGTTTGGACCATTGCCCGAATCGTCGCCTATAATATGTATTGATTTCGTTTTTAACCCAACAGTGCTATTGACGAATGTGTTGAGTGTTTCATTTTTTGTCCACCGGGAGAGTCGCCGAAGGAGACGCGAAGCTCGTGCCGTGGCCCACGTGAAGCCAACGGCGCAGGGAACAACGTGGAGCCAGCCTGCTACTTTGGGGGGACCCCACGGCACAGCTCACACAGTCGTGCCATCAGTTGGCATCGGCCGACGTTTCTTTGGGTTCCGCGCGCTTCGTTTTCCATCGACGATTGAGCCCTCGCGTGGCTGAAGAAATGAGGCAATCGAGGTCCTAATCTCCACCAGCGACCGCTGCGGTTAGCCTCGCCGCTGCTGGCGGGGCGGGCGGGACGATTCAGCACCAGGGACAGCGGCTACGCCCTTTGCTGCACGGGCAGGAGGCGCTCTTACGCGCAGCGCCATGCGGTTCGCGTGTCTTATGTCAAGGCGATGCCCCAAGGAACCACGGGATGGAGAGAGAGAGAGAGGAGAGAGAGAGAGAAGGGGGTGGAGGGGAGACGAGGGGGAGAGTAGAAGAGGGAGATGATGAGATTGGAGGTGAGAAACGCACGTTTATGTTAAAGCGAGTGAGAGACGAGGTGATGATGGAGGTGAGATGTGGGGGTGGAGAAAAGAGGGAAGTGAGGGAAAGGGACGTGGAAGAGGTGCCATGGAAGGGAGGAGAGAAGAGGGGAGAGATGGGGTCTCGATAAGATACCGAGACCCCCAATCTGCATCAGCGACCGCTGCGTTCGCCTCGCTGCTGCTGGGGGGGGGGGGGGGGGGGGGGGGGGGGGGGCGGGGGGTGGAGGCGCTCGCGGACGAATGATCGATTCGGCACCACGGACAACGGCTACGCCCTTTCCTGCACGGGCAGGATGCGCTCTCGCACAGCGCCATGGAGATTCCTGCGAGCGAATAATGACAGCGTTCGTGTCACGAGGCGCCGCATCATCCAACGTGCTGCATTTTTCGTTTGGCCTTCGTCCAACGTTTCCGTGACGTCCGTTCATCATCGTCATCAGCCGGATCGAATCATCCATCAGTGCATCGATCTCTCTATGCGAGTCTATGTGTCTCTGTGTGAGTCTACGTAGCTCTGTGAGTCTCTATGTCAGCCTATGGGTCTGTACGTGAGTCGTCCAGGGTCTCTATGAGAGTCTATGGATTTCTACGTGAGTCTGCGGGTCTTTGTGTGAGTATGTTGATCTCTGTGTGAGTGTGTGTGATCTCTATGGGTGTAGCGGTAGTGTAGCGGTTAGCGCGTTGTGCTATGAACCCGGCGACCCGAGTTCGATTTCCGCTTACGACCAACACCAGTCACGATGAACCGCTTCTGGGCCTCCCCTAGGTCGGCTCAGCATCAAATGAGAACATGGTGCGGTGTGTTAACATCGCCACTGGGGAGACAAAGGCGGCCGGGCGTGGTGTTGGCCACCCACCCCCTCGTGTACTGTGCCGGCCTTCATAGCTGCTTGCTAACAGCACTTGCCCCTACAGTCTATTAAGGCTATACGGGGGATCTTTATCGTTGGCCTGTATGAGAGTCTATGGATCTCTCCGTGATGCTGCGGGTGTCGATGTGAGTCCGTAGGTCACGTCGCCGATCAGTGCCCAACACGTGCTCTCTGCAGGATGATGCCACGTGTCCTGCCTGTGAAGGCCCGAGTTGAATCGCAATGGCTTTGCTGACTCGTCGCTCGTGGCTGCCAACTCAACACACGGGCGACGCTCCTCCCTCCACTCATCTGTTCTCCTTCCATGAACATGCAAAAAAAGAAATAAACGTGTTGTATTTGACGCATCCCATCAGCCTCGAAGAACCTCCTGGGAATGACATCGTAGCGGCGGTATTGGTGTAACAACGTTCACTCTGCGCGATTTGACGTCTGGCAGTTGATCAGCATCGGTTCGAGCAAACGCCTGACTCTGCTGCTGATAGAGGCGGGAGAGAATGAGAGAGAGAGAGGAGAGAGATGGGAGGGAGAGTGCGAGAAAAGGAGGGGAGAGAGAGAAGGAGGGAGAAGGGGAAGGAGAGGGGACTGCATGGGAAGAGAGGGAGTTGCCTCTCGCCGCCGTGTGACGCATTGAGGATCATCACTGCATGATATTCACTTTTCCTATCTTTCACTTTCCCTCTCCCCTCTCTCTCTTTCTCTGCTCTATTTCTGTTGCTCTGCCGTCTCTTATTCTCTCGCGCGTTGTATATCTCGTCATCTCTTTCTTTCCTTTCTCTCTCTCTCTCCCCCCTCTCTCTACCCTATGGTCACTCTCATGTTTCATTTTTTTCTCTCTCTCGTTTCTTTGTCTGTTCACTATCTTCATCTTCTCTCTCTCTCTCCGCTCTTTCCTCTCCGATTCCTTCCTCGTAGTGCCTTACTCTTCCTCTTACATGTCGTCTCTCTCACATCTCATCTCGTCTCTTCTCCATCTCCTTTGCTTCTCCTTTGTCTGTTCCCTCTCGCTTATCTCTTCCCGCTCTCTCCTACTATCTCATCTATATCCCCTCGCCTTTATCTCTCCCCTTCCTCCCTCCCTCTCTGCTCGCTCATTTCTATTCACCTCCTCCCTCTATTTTCTCTCTCCATTTCTCTCTCTCGCCTCCTCTCCCCCACCCCCTCTGCTCGGTCTTCGCAGTGAGGGTGGTGTCGCTGCCTCGCGTTGTGGGGGGGGGGGGGGGGGAGCGTGAGGGGGGGAATGGGAAATGAAGCGGTGCTTGGCATGGCACGGGCTGGGGGGCATGGCACGGGTGGGGGATGGTGGTGATGTTGATGCTGGCTATGATGATTTTGGTGATGATGGTGATGATAGTGATGCTATGATGCCAATAGTGGTAATGAAGGTTGCAATGATGATGATCATGCCAAGGGTGATGATTGCAGTTTTGACGATGCCGAGAAATAGATTATGTTGGTGATGATGTTGGCGTTGGTAATGGTGATTCCGCTAATGTCGATATGGACACTATTCTTAACCAGAGTGACAACAACGATGTTGGTTATGACGATGATGTTGGTGATGATGTTGGTTATGGTGTTGGTGATGATGATGTTGTTAATAGTGATGGTATCGGTGTTGACCGTGTTGATGATGTTAAGGGTGATAATGTTGAGGATGATGTTGGGAGTGATGATGTCGAGGGTGATGTTGAGAGTGATAATGGTGATGGCGATAATGTTGATGGTGCTGGTGTGGTGATGCTGAGGGTGATGATGTTGAGGGTGTAGTGGTGATGTGGAGAGTGATGATGATGATGATGTTGACGGTGTGGTGCCCAGGTGTGCGTGCCTGGGACGTCGACTCCACGTCGTGCCATCTCGACCAGCAGCTGCAGCTCTTCGTGTCGCGACACTCGGCCCGGTTCTCCTCCGATGTCAAAGGTCAGTGACCCCCTCCCCCTTCCCCGCCCCCCCCCCCGGACCCCCAAAAACAAGAGCGCCCAGTCACACTCATGAATCGACAAATTCATGAGCGCTTAGACGTGGGGACGAAACGGAGTACCCGCAGAAAACCTGCGCGTGCGTGCGTGCGAGGGGAAAGCACTCGATCCCATACGGACAGAACAGGTGGAGTCGACATTTGTGCCGTGTGTATGCTGGACTTCTTTCGTACCGCACCTTGCCAACCGTGCCAATCGGAGGTGCTGCACCATCTTATCCTGGCAGAGCCACGCCACGGGCTCCTCTTGGATGCCCACCCACGGGAAGGGAGTGTGGAACAGATGGAGATTTGTCCACACACTCTGCTGTTCCACCTCCTGGCAGAGCCAGGGGGTACGGCTCCTCCTCGACGCCCACCAAAGTGGGAAAGGAGTTTCACAGCCCATCTCTGTGTGGTCCACCAACTCTCGCTGCTGCCTCCACAACAGTGCCGGATCAGAGGGGCCGCCACGTGCAGCAGCACAGCCACCACCGCCACCACTGCGCCGTGATATTGACGGCACTGCTGATCACATTCTCCCTGCCACCGGAGTCACCACTCACGTGCCCACAATACCCCCGATTCGCCACTAAGTGGCGGTGACGTTACCACGGCACTTGTGCCAGGCCATGTGCACTTTAAGGCTACGTGAAGTGTCGAACGCCCGCTGGCAGGAGGTCGCGGGACAGACCCAGATGCCATGGGTCGACTGACTGAGATGACTGGCCGATGCACGACCTGTGCCCCCAACTGTGCCAACTTGCCGTATTTTATCCGCCCGGTGCCTCCGCTCGTTGTTGTGAGCGTCCGCCCTCCGTTGTTGTTGGAGGGCGACTGCCTCCAACTGCCCAGTGGCGGCGTCCTTCACGAGCCTCCTCCAACCCAGCCCACCAACCCTCTTCCCCCCAGCCCCTGCCCTTCTGCGGGACGAACAACAACATCATCAACTATTTACAGCCGACGTGCAGCAAAAGTATCGACGCCCTCTGGCCGAATAAACCACCCGGGGTTACCCCCCAACCTCAACCCAAGCAGGGCCTGAGCCTCGATAGCCCTGGGATGGGTGACTCAGACAAAGATCCCCCGTATAGCCTCAACACACTCTCGGGTCAAGTGCTGTGAGCGATTGGCGCCTGCCAAGGCCGCTATGGCGCACTGCCATGCATCCACCCATTGTGGGGAGCGGTGGCGCAGTGGTTAATGCGTTGCGCTCATAACCCGGCGACCCGAGTTCGATTTCCGCTCACGGCCAACAACACCGGTGATGATCAGCTGAACCGGTCCCGGGCCTCACCTAGGCCGACTCGGCCTCAAATGAGTACCTGGTTCAGCGTGTAAACATCGCCCCTGGGGAGACAAAGGGGGCCGGGCGTGGGGTTGGCCACCCCCCCCCCCTCGTGCACCGTGCAGGCCTTCATTTGTGCTCGGTAACAGCACTTTCCCCCAAATGATGTTGAGGCTATACGGGGGATCTTTGTCCAGGGTGAGTGTGGGGAGCGCTGGCGCAGTGGTTAGCGCACTGCGCTACGAACCCCGACGCCCCATCGGTTCGATTCCCGCTCCCGGCCCCTCGCCGCGTGAGTGACGCGTGAGTGACGCGGCGAGTCACGTGGACCGCGATGTCAAAGAGCCGCGCTCAGCTCGACGGGAGCGCCTCGCCAGCTGAGCTCGCAAAGTCTGCGATCCGATGCAGCGAGTCGATGGATCGACTCTCTCTCTCTCTCCCTCCCACCGCCTCTCTCCCTCTTGGTGTTGTATATCGCGTATCTGTACCGAACAGCGTGTTCGTTTTTCCGACAAATTGAGCTTCACGAATGCGCTCTCAGCCCCCCAACCCCGCCTCCAGCATCCCTCCCCCCAACTCCTTTTTTTACGCAGAAGCGACTCCGGGCCCTGAGCCGCATGCCATCTCAATTATTCACGCGGGCAAATGTTCCGCGGCGTTTCGCTGGCATTGCCCCCTCGCTCCGCATCAAACATTGATTTCATCAGAGTGCATCCCCCGGCGGAATGATGCCTAACGAACGCCGGTGCCAGCGGACGGTGCAGTCGACCGACTCGCCCGTGTTTACCGTGGGTATTGGGTATTGGACGAACCAACCTCGCATTGCACCGTAGCGTCCAACAAAAGTGAGCTCTAGATTTGAGGCTTTTGTGACTGCAAAGGATTCATTCTCTTGGGTTTTTTCGGTAAAGTCACGTAGGTAAAATAAAAATAAAGTAATATAATAATGAAATAAAACGACTAAATTAAATCACGACGTTTCGGAGGCAACACAAGCTTTCGTCTTCAGGTGGAATAGTCACAGCAAAATATATAAGCTTATATATAAGCTCGGGTGTCTCAGAGCCCCTCACTTGATGCAGCTATCTTGCTGTGACTATTCCACCTGAAGACGGAAGCTTGTGTTGCCTCCGAAACGTCGTGATTTAATTGAGTTGTTTTATTTTATTATTATTTTATTTTCTTTTTATTTTACCTACGTGACTTTACCGAAAAAAAACAAAGAGTAATAGTGAGCTCGTCTGAGCACGCTGTAGAGAAACAATGGAAGGGATTTTTTTTTCGTTAAGTGGCGGCGGTGGCTACGCTGCACGTGGCCTACGATCTTACGTCGTGTGTGGAGTAGTCAGCAGCGAGGGTTGACGGATCACCGCAACATATCTTGCGAAACTCCCCTCTCGCTTTGGCTGTCGCGTCGGGGAAGAGCCCGCACTCTGGCTGTGCCAGCAGAAGGCGGTACAGCCAAGTGCGGACCAATCTCAACCCGTCGCTTCTGTACGATGGGATCGAGCGTTGCCCCCTCGCTCGCGTGCGTGGAGTTTATGCGCTTCCTGCGGTTTGCTCCCACGAGCAGCGTTGCGAGATGCAGCTGCAACGCCGCGCGCGATTACTTGCAAACTCAACATTACGATCGTCCTTACTTTATCGGTTATTTACAGACGTGATTATCGCCGGCAACAGATGAATTAAAGACGAATTTCTTCAGAACTGACTTTTGTGTGTTTAGTTTGTTGTCCTTCTGCCGCACCTCCGATTAGCGCGGTTGGCTACGTACGGTGCGAAAGAAGATCAACATACCCAATTATCATCATCATCATCAGTTCAACATACACACGTACACTGAGCCCCATGTGTTGATATGGCGACCCCACGTGGCTAACGCTTCCTATGGCTCCCAGAGGCAGACTGCGCAGCGGTGACGACACTGTGACGAACACCAAACTGATGAGTCCTGATCGTAACGAAACCACGGTCCACAGTTCGTCAATCACCGCTGCTGCCGGCAAGTCACATTTAGATTTGAAGCTTTCGTGACTGCAAGGATCCATACTCTTTGGTTCTATTCGGTAAAGTCACGTAGGTAAAAAATAAAACAACGCTGTCCTCTGGACAGGCCGGTCCCTTCACCTGATGAAGGCCACTTGTGTTGTGGCCGAAACGTCGTGATTTTTGTTATTTTATTTTTACCTACGTGACTTTACCGAATAGAACCAAAGAGTAAGTCACATTTACTCGCTTTTATGTTCATGGCGACCACAGACAAGATGAACCACATTGCAGTTCCTCGGGAACTGCTGATGGTTTTATTATTATTATTACACGCTTTTTATTAACTCACTCTGTCTGTTGTTGTATCCTCAAATCTTGTAACTACATTTTAACCCACTTCCCAATGTGGTATCGACTGCAAACTTGTTATACTTATGCCATACTGATGACAATACTATATTCTATCATTAAAAAAGTAAAAAGTTATATATTTATTTTCATTATTTTTTATATCTTATGTTTCGGCTTGGCTCTAATTGTCCACGCTCAACTCACGTTGGCTGTAAATCACCACGGTGCCCTTACGTTGTGGCAAGCTTCGGGGCCACTTCCTGGAGTCGTGGAGTTCTTCCATTACTCGTACGGTACATTTCATTAAAGCGTGTTTTAAAAAAAAAATATTTTAAAATATTACTTATTTTGCATAATGCACAGAGGCTGCGTGATTTGTATACACGTCTGTGTTGTTATTGTTGCTGTTGTTTGAAACTCTGTGGGTTATTATTCTGTTATTTACTCAATATTTGGAATATTTTTTTTTTATCAACGCAGTCAAATATCCATGAATAGCAATGTCAGACTATGGATTTCTGTGTGAATTTGCTGGTCACTGTGAGTCTATGGCTCTCTGTGTGAGCCTGCTGTTTTCTATGTGAGCATATGGAGCTCTGTGTGAAGCTGCTGTTCTCTATGTGAGTCTATGGATCTCTGTGTGGGTCTGCTGGTCTCTGTGTGAGTCTATGGCTCGCTGTGTGAATCAGCTGGTCTTTTTGTGAGTCTATGGATCTCTGTGTGAGTCTGCTGGTCTCTACGTAAGTCGATTGATCTCTGTGTGAGTCTGCTGGTCTCTATGTGAGTCTATGGATATCTGTGTGAGTCTGCTGGTCTCTCTGTGAGTCGATGGATCTGTGTGAGTCTGCTGGTCTCTTTGTGAGTCTATGGCCCTTTGTGTGAGTCTGCTGGTCTCTTTGTGAGTCTATGGATCTATGTGTGGGTCAGCTACTCTCTATGTGAGTCTATGGATCTCTGTGTGAGTCTGCTGGTCTCTTTGTGAGTCTATGGCCCTCTGTGTGAGTCTGCTGGTCTCTTTATGAGTCGATGGATCTCTGCGTGAGTCTGCTGGTCTCTATGTGAGTCGATTATCTCTGTGTGAGTCTGCTGGTCTCTACGTGAGTCTATGGATCTCTGTGTGAGTCTGCTGGTCTCTTTGTGAGTCTTTGGATCTCTGTGTGAGTCTGCTGGTCTCTTTGTGAGTCGATGGATCTCTGTGTGAGTCTGCTGGTCTCTACGTGAGTCTATGACTCTCTGTGTGAGTCTATGACTGTCTGTGTGAGTCTGCTGGTCTCTACGTAAGTCTATAGATCTCTGTGTGTCTGCTGGTCTCTATGTGAGTCGATTAACCTCTGTGTGAGTCTGCTGGTCTCTTTGTGAGTCTATGG